GACTTAGAGGTCGCGTGTTCGAGCTCACGCGTCTGCTCGGCTTGATCTTCGGCGTGGTGAAAGTGTACGGATGCCCACCTAAGTTCATCTGCGACGAAAATCAAAGGATGCCCGACAAGAACCAGTGTTGCCACTCCTCCCGCGTGATAGCAGCTCACAGGAGGTGGCTGGCGAAACAGGATCGGCATTCCCTGCACACCGAGGTGATCGCCGAGTCGCAATCAGACCCGGCCGATCTCCTGTTCGCCTTCTCTTTGATCGATCCAATTATGCCGGACGAACTGAAGATACTGAAGACGGTAGTGGACCAGCTAGTCGATACCGATAACACGGAACTCTTGGAAGGGGAAAGGTACTTGATCATCGGCAACAGAAACAACGCCGGCACGATGGAAGATCTTTTGGAAACGCTGGAACGAACGACAGGAATATGCGGCAAAAAATGCAAAAATATAATGAGTTCCATACCGAGCGGAGACAAGAAGCCGTTCCGGTTCGTAGAAGAAGCCGGTCGCAAGCGACAGCTCCTGTTGTGCAGCTTCGGAACGGAGGCATACGTGGCTTCTCACGACGACGAGTACCGGTTGATATCCGACGAGATGATCGAGAAGATGGAGGAAGCCGACGAACTCGGCAGCGATCGCGATCGCGTTTTCCTCGACAGAAACCACTTGCGGCTGAGAACTTGTAACCGCATGCAGGAGCTGAAATTTCTTTCGCATCTCCGGGTGCACCCACGGCACACATACTGGGGCTCGACAGATTTCGATTCGCGTGCCGACGTTCGTTACATCAAACAATTACCGACGACGGAAAACGGTCATGCCCATGTGAACGTCGACTTTTACGAGACGAGGCTGCGATTCTTGAGAAAGCGGACGCTCTTGGCTTGCGAAGACGGCGGGTGCCAGGAGAACGGACTGGTGGAAGTACGATTTAATTTGCACGATGCAGCCAACTTGTCCAAGGTACTATCCTGTCGGCTGTGGGACGGTTCCATCAAGCCTTTGGCCGACGTGGGGGAGATCAGCGACGAAGACGAATGCGAGCTCGTGCTTCCGACGTCCACCAACCGGGTTTTCATGGTGCATCTCAGCATTCTACTTCCCAGATGGAAACATCTGGATATAGCGAAATTGTGCTTGGACGCCCTGAAGAAGGACGAGGACTGCTGCAAGGGCAATCGAATCCGTGTCACCGCTTCCAACGAATTGGAGGATGCCGTTTTGAAAGACGAATTGGACACTAAGACCAACGCGTTGAGACATCTCGCCGGCTCCTCAGCGGTCCTCAACGTGTCGGCTGGAAAATCCTTGTTCGCGAACCTGCTCTTGCTAAATTCTCTCGAAAAAGCTTGCCAGCAATAAGGTGAGATTCGACGAATCTCCGATGAAAAACGTCATCGAAAAAACAATTTTCGAAGACATGACCGACCGAACGACAGTCTGGTACTTCGATCGAAGCGCCAAGGAAGTATTTCAGAAAGTGGACATTCGACAATTGGCCGAGAAGAACAGAGGGCGTCTTCCCGGACACGTCTGCAAGAATCCGTACCGAAAAAAGGTTAGGGCAACTTCGGCGATAAAGCTGGGTAAAAATTGAAGTTCGCTCCTGAGGAGCCGACGTTGATGAAGCCGATATCGTCGCATGTGAAACGGAGGTCTGCTTGGATGCGCATGCTGGCAGATGGATCGGAACGCAAGCTGAGGGAGGAGTGCGGGAACGACGTAAATCGGTACCGACGAACCGTGGAATAGACGAGTTGATCGACGAAGTCCGGGAACGCGGTTACCCCTTTGTTCTTAGGCGTGATGATGAACCAGATCCATTTCCTTGCGGTTGCAGTCGCTACGCTGCTTAGATGTTATGACGATAAGCACAAAATACAAAAAGAACATTGGAAATAAAGCTTGATTTAAAAAAAAATACAATGAGTTCGTATCCTTCTGTGTTTAATTTTGTTATTTTTATTTCTTGATGATGAGTCGCAAATGTATGTTAGTAAATATAAATAAAAAAATTGAAAGACAAAAGATCAGTTATAGTTTCATGTCGATGGAGCACGTAGTCCATAACCACTTTAATATTAAGAATTCCACTTCCCATTTCACATTTTAAATCAGACGGTCGTTCGATAAGGAGTTAGTGCATAGATATATTTATATACACGTGCGTCCGATCATTATCGACAAATTAACTTGTAATGTCCTCTCCATCGATGGCCGACTCAGACGATCGAGTGGCCGCCGAGCCATTCGGCGAAGAACAGAACGACGTATTCAGCACCGTCGTGCTGAGACCGTGGCAATAAGGACTGATGGACGAGCTGTCAAGAAGACCGGACCCGCGCGCCGTCTACTGGTACCACGAGCCTCGTGGAAACGTAGGAAAGAGTTTCATGGCGTCATACCTGTCCCGATCGATGGAAGCGATCGTGTTCGACGGCTGCAAGAAGGGGGCCGACGCCGTGTACGCTTACGACGGACAGCGCATCGTCGTCTTCGACCTGCACCGCTCCCAGAAGAAACGCGTGAATTACGAACTGATGGAGAGGTTCAAGAACGGACGCCTCTTTAGCCCCAAGTACCACAGCAAGGTGAAGCTGTTCGCAGTGCCTCACGTCGTTGTGTTCGCCAACTTTCCGCCCGACCTTCGCGCCATGTCCGCCGACAGGTGGCGTATCCGAAAGATCGGCAGCGACGGCCACGAGTGGGAATAATCGCGACCGACAAGCAGGAGATATTTCATTTTCCCACTATATAAAATAAACGATTTTAGTGTCTCCCCTCATTTCACCGTTCGATCTTCGTGTTATAGCAACAATCGAAGCACGTGATGGAATTCGAGGCTCTGGCAGATAAAATCTATTGTGCAAATTTTGCGGTGAAACGAAGCGGTGAAACGAAAGAAGGATAGTGAAGATAAGAAAATAAAACGTTTCCAAAAAAAGAGGCAGAAGAGGTTGCTTAAACGAAAGGAGAAGCGAATTCGAAAACATTCTCACATCTTTTCTTTCGACGGTTTCGCCGTAAAAAATATCACTATAGATCTTCAGAACAACGAAGGTACTAAAAAAAGCGAGAGCGTTCAGGCTTTCGATTGCCGCCCCGAAACTATTTTCGACTTGATGAGGACTGTTGGAAACCGCCGGGAGTTGGAGATTCAGAGAAACGGACACGAACGGTGTGCGTTGAGGCCGTGGCAGGAGAGCCTGATGGATGTGTTGACCGGGCCTGTACACGACCACAAAATTTACTGGGTTGTCGATAAAAGTGGCGGGGCCGGCAAGACCTTTTTCGCACAGTACGTGCGAGCAGTCATGGACGGCCGTATATATACTAGTTCCAGTTACCGGCTTTTCGCACGCGTCTTTCGCAAACATCGCGATGGAACGGGGATCGTCGTCTTTGATCTTTCCCGCAAACAACGGAACGGCTTTTCGTTTTTCAATTACAAGTTGATTAACGATCTGAAGGATCGTTCGATAAAGTACAGAGGAGAAAATTATCTTATCGATCCGGTGCACGTTTTGGTATTGGCCAGGTTCGAGCCCAACATGAAGAGAATGGATAACGATCGTCTGGAAGTACGTCGCATCGACCAAAACGGACAATACTTTCATATTATTGCTTAATAGTCTTAAACGTTTGTTTAGTTCGCAGATAAATAAGATAATGTAATTTGGTTAATAAATAAAAGACGAAGAAACCTAATTTTTTGTTTTGTTTTGCTTATTTTGTTTTCTGTGATGACTCTCTTTGCAAACGGTGCCCGGCAGCCGCAACTATCGTCGGCGCCGGTTCTGGTGTGTATAACAGTGATCGATATGTCATTTTCGGTACATTTAGCTGCGAGGAGTGAAATTGTGCAGAATGTATGAAATACGAGAAGAGTGGTCAGATTATTGGGTGTTCGTTTTGAAGGGTTACACAGTAGCCGAATTGGATTATCTGAAGAAGTTTTCCGAGCCCGAATTTATGAAGAAGATGGAAGTAAAGTACATGCGATTGACGGAGAAGACAAATCACCGAAACGCAAATTACCGAAACGGGGCGACATACATTCGAGGTTGGCTCATTTCAAAGATACCTCGTAAACAGGAAGACGTCGAAACAGTTCTCAACTCCGACCGATTTCGTTTGCATAAGATGAGAGGTAAGAACGAAAACAAAGAAGTTATCTGCACTATGAACCCCCTAGAGCCGACGTACTCGTTCGGTGATCCGGCCGACCTAAACGGCTTTGGTTTAAAGCAACGAAGAGAACTCTACGAGAGAAAACGTGCAGGAGTAAGGTGTTGGGTGTTCGTCGCGCGCGATCTCACGGAAGAGGAATTTGAGTACATGATGCTGTTTTCCGATAGAAAGTTCAGGGAGAAAAATCTCGTCGAATACATTCAATTCACGGAAGTGATCGCTCCGAAGACAGGGAAGAAGCACCTTTTGGGTTGGCTTGCTTCGAGTTTTCCTTGGAAATCTCACGACGTCGAGAAAACTCTAAATTGCCATAGTTTGTACATGGAAAGGGTGCGACATTCCAAAAAGTAAGTCGAACCCAGTTCGACGGAGGAGATCGATGCACCGACGTACTACTTCGGAGTTTCAGACGACATCGACGCGAAAACGAACAGCGAATCTTGCAAAGCTGTGAGACGTTTGGTGGAAAAGACCGTGAAGAAGAGACATCGAAATGGGAGAAAGAGAGGACGTGCGAAGTTAATGAAAAAACGTAAAGAAAAGGCGAACGAACTTCCGGTAGTCGCGAACGCCCCCAAAAAACGTTCCAAGACGCGACCGAGAAAAAAAGGAAAGGATGAGAAAGCTGGAAAGACAAAGACGATGGTACGAAAAGTGCCCGTTGAGACCGTGGCAGACAAAACTGAGAGAGGTCCTGCTCGGCGGATTATCGACAGTACGACGCATGCATTGGGTGGTCGACGAGATCGGGGGAACCGGAAAAACTTTCCTGGCGCGATACATGAAAACAGTTATGGGTGGTTTGCTTTTCACAAATGCCACGTACCGTTATTTTGCAGTACGTTCAAGGAGCGTCGCGAGTGAGATCAAATCGTCGTGTTCGATCAGGACGGCGGCTACGAACCTGGAAGATTCAGTTATCGGATTTTGAAAAATCTGATGAGTCGTTTCACTTTGTTCAAAATTTTGGTGTTTGCGAAATTTCAACCGACGACGAACCCTTTCGAAATAGACATGTGGAAGATAATAAGTATCGAAGAAGATGATGGTCAAAGTTGAGACGTTATCCGATGTTACTGAAACAAAAAAAGTAACTTTCCATTATAAATAAATAAAGAACGAAAGAAGTTTTAAATTGTTGTCTTTAGTTTTTTATAGTGTTACTTTTATATCTTTTCTATTTTATTTTGTTATGGATGACATAAATATATATTATTTGTGCCTACTTACACCCAAAGAATTGAGCCGGCGTACATATGTTGAATCAGTGTATATTATCGTGTACAAGTCGACAACGTCCACGGACGGAGACTGACTACGCCGGCAAAGAAATCGATCGACGGCATGACGGTGTCCCTTTCGCCTGCTCGCGTCCGCGACCATCGACCACGACTGTCAGTCCGACGACGTTCGACGTACGCCGTCGTGCCGTATCGCGACGACGGCCAGTCCGGCGTCCGGCGTACGTGACGACGACTGCCAGTCTGGCGGACGTGACAGCGACGGCCTGTCCGGTGTCACGTACGCCGTCCGCCGACTCGAGAAGACGACGGCTGCAAACAACGACGGCCAGTCCGGCGTCCGGCGTCCGGCGTACGTGACAACGACGGCCAGTCCGGTGTCACGTACGCCGTCCGCCGACTCGAGAAGACGACGGCTGCAAACATTGACGGCCAGTCAGGCGTCCGGCGTACGTGACAAGGACAGCCAGTCTGGTGTCACGTACGCCGTCCGCCGGCTCGCAACGACGACCAGTCCGGCGTCCGGCGTACGTGACAAGGACGGCCAGTCCGGTGTCACGTACGCCGTCCGCCGACTCTCAGCGACGACCAGGACGGCCAATCCGGCGTCCTTGACAGCGACGGCCAGTCCGGTGTCACGAACGCCGTCCGCCGTCTCGCAGCGACGACCAGGACGGCGTTCGGCGGACGCCGGATGCCGGCGTTACGGTCTACCGATTTTGGCGCCAAGTAGTGATCTGTCCGACCAATCAAAGTCCAGAGTTAGCGTGGCACGATGCACCGAAAGGTATAAATGGGAGTCGGTGTTAGAAAATCGTTCATTCCTTACGCAAGTTTCACGGAGGACGATCGAAGTCGCTGTCGGATTGAGAACGGAGGAAGTGTGTCGTGCGGATGCTGGAAGCCTCGAAGAGCAACGGATGTAAAAGCTGTAAACAGCGTCTAGGGAGTAATCTGCTTTGTTGGTGAAATTCCAATAGTGGTACATCTTCCATGGACGGCCGCAAAGCAGGCTAGATTTGCTGCACCCGCGACACGGCTCCCGTCTGCGGTTCGGGGGAGTTCCGGTTGTGAACATGTACCTTCGGGAGTATGCAGCTATCGGGCTTGTAAGGCCTTGTATATGTGATCGCTTCTGCGGACTTGGTGAGCTCCACCTAAGCATTATGCGGGCTTTGCCATTGGTAGCGCAAGTAATGTGGAAGGTGTCGAACAACCTCAACGAGGCCTTTTTTGGATCCGTGCGAATAGGTAACGACTTGTTCTTCTACGTCGTTCGCCGACCGACTCGACTTCGACCACTACTTCGTGCACGACCGTAAGGAACGGTAGATAAGGTAAAGTTTGTTAGTAATTATGTTAAGTTTAGTATAAGCGTAAATAACAACAGTTAGGTTTTAAGGTAAGTGTAGATTGTAAGTATTGCCATGTTTGTCGTAAACTTGATCGAGTTCGTCTTGATTGAGATCGATAGTCATTCGCGAAAAATAGCGAAACACGACGCTAATGAATTTAGCGACGTGGTAGCAAATTTGCAACGCGAAGAAAATCTACTACGCGATAACAAATCTACGACGCGAATGAACTCTACGACGCGATAACGAATCTACACCGCGAAAAATATATCTTGGAAGATTGTAGTTAAGAAAAAAAAATGTTTTGTCTTCAATGTTCAGAGACAGGACAGGGTCCCCTCGCTCCTTTTGCGTGAAAGCTTGGGCATATATCGGACAGGGTTCCCTCGCTCTTTTGCGTTAGAGCTTGGGCATATATCGGACAGGGTCCCCTCGTTCTTTTGCGCGAGAATGGGGTATGCCGCTGCTTCCTTGCGGAATGGACCGCCGAAAAGCCCGTACGACGAACGATTCAGTGTGCAGGTCTCGTTCTTCGTGCAGACGGTTCGACGGTCCCATCCGCACGGGTAGGTTCGGCCTTTTCAGTCGGGTGCGAACGCCGATCCGAAAGTCTCGGAGACGATTCAGTGCACAAGTTTCGTCGTCGGGACTTTCGAACCGGCGTTCGCATCCGCGCGAGGAAGTCGTCCTTCTCGGTCCATCCGAAGGCAGCGGTTGGGTGTGGGGGTGGGGTCGATGCTGTTAACCTGCTCGTGGTGACCCTGCTACGGCGATCGGACTCCGTTCGTCGGTCTCCGATCGCTTAACCATTAACAGCAAACATAATATTTTTCAAAGCTAGATATTTCTGGACTTTTCTGGACTTAGAAAAATTTTCGACTTTTCTGGACTTAGAAAAATATTCGACAATTCTGGACTTAGAAATAT